GTAAAAGTCGAAACAACCTAGACAAGAAGTCAATTCACCAGTCCAGCCAGCTATGGCTCCCTAAGTTGCTTATATTTAATCAGATACTATTTCGTCATCATGCTTTGTTACCTTACCTGTTTATACCTCATGAGGGCGTTTTTTTATGGCAAGATGGCGCAAACGGAAGTCCTTCGCAGGTTTATGGTTTCTCATATTTAAATCATCATAACTCTGAAGATAATCATTTTTTTTTATTTATTTTTTCAAATTTATAATCAATATACATAACTTGATAAATACAAACACCAAAATAGGCTCTATTTAGTTCCCCTTTAAGATTTCTCCATTATTCCATGCACTCAACAATGTTGAGTGAGTATTTTTAGGATGTCATAATCATTGCAAATGCTGTTTTGTTTTCATGCTTTTATAATATCAGAGGTACATTACTTGGGGTTTGCAACTACGGTGACATTATACCAAGATCCCGATCAATCTCGCTCTCGCATAAGCGTTCCCTGCTCAGAACAATGCGAATGCACATACCCAAGGTAACTAGGTTACTGTGTGGTCCAGGTGGATCAAAATAGCTGCCCACGGTATGACGGATTACGAGAACTATGTTATTCACTACGTTCAATTACCCACCACAGGCTCCGGTCAGTTAAAATGACTATTTTGAACTGTAGGCATTAATCAGCGATTCTGCCGATGACGGAGAGATAGAATCTAGGTCAGGGGAAGCCCCATTACCTTAAGATTTTCTTTCCCTTACGTCACGAACCACGTGACCGAGGCCATATAGCAGGGCCATAGACAGCTGGACAATCACTCTGGTTCCTTTCTCTCTGCCTCGAGGACTTAGACCAATGCTACGGAAAGAGTGGGGTGGTTTCTGTACATTTTCGATGTATTACATTTTTTCACTATGATAGTGGCAAGACATGTTTTATTTTTTTATTACAAACCTTGAACATTGATATATGTCATGTCAGAAGGTCGTAGCCTCAGTCTCGCTATCTACGAGAAGAGACTTGAATGGGATCTTGACATGATGTCACCATACAGTACTATACGCGTTGAAAACTCCAAGTAATGTACCGAGGGTACCTCTTATAATATATAAAATTATCAAATTGCATGAATAGACCATTTTTCGTTCACCAAGAGATACTGCATTATCCATGAAATCAAACATCAAAACAGGACAAACAAAAGTTATAGAGTTGTAGTAATGTCAAACATCACATGAGATTCTACAAACGCAAAAGTATTTTGGCATATTCATAATGTGCTATACATATTTGATGATGGCAAAGTAAGGGTATCTCAGCACAATATTCGTTTCTCAAAGATGGACATTTCATGTTTTTGAAAAAAGAAGTTCAAGTTTGATTTTTGATCTTCAGTTTGCCCCTAACATGTAATACCGGTACACAGTGATCCGAAAATTAGCTATTGATGTCCGCGAATTATTATACAGTATAATTTGCATCATGGAAATGGGTGATTTTACTTGTATTTACCGTTTGCAGAGAAGTTAATGAAAATAGAGTAATAGCGAAGAGAGATGGAAATGAAACAAAGACTGGTTCCCTATGGGTTGATAAATATGGTCCTCAACAGTATAGCGAGCTGCTCAGTGATGATGGAACAAATAGAACGTTACTACGCTGGTTGAAACTCTGGGACTACGTGGTGTATGGCAAAGAGTACAAACCTAAGGAAGAAAAGAAGAAGACTACAAAACCGAACATGAAGAAATGGGGTGCAAATGTGCCTGAGGTGGTTGAGGTAAGAATGTCGCCAAACAAAAGTCAAGAACTAATGTACAATATTCTGATTTTTAGGCCAAAAACAATTTATTTTCAAGTCTTTTTGAACAAGTGTGCTGTACAATAGTTTTGGTGTTTTCGCTTTTGTTTTTGATGTTTGTAAAAATTAAAGAAAATTGATTTGCACCGCAATCTAAAAAAAAAATGACCAGAAACAAATGTACATATAGTATTTTGTGAGCTTGGCAGTATATTTCCTCCAATGCTTGCAAGATTCATCAAAAACAAAACACATTGAACTGGATATTTACTCTTTTTTATTTTTACATTTCATTTATCATTTCACTGTGTTAGGTGAATGTGTCGTTCTTAATTTTATGTGTGGAATTTATGCATAATATACCTACATAATTTAAAAAGCTCTCTATGTCAGTATAAATTTGTATTGTACATGTATATGTCTTATTCCCTCCATAGGAATTAGATGAACACAAAAGACCTGTACATAAAGTGGCTTTACTGTGTGGTCCGCCTGGTCTGGGTAAAACTACACTGGCACACGTCATAGCTAAGCATGCTGGGTATAACGTGATTGAAATGAATGCTAGGTAAGTACTGCTCTGTTTCTAATCAGATTTAAATACAAAAATGTATATCATACCAAGTGAGCTATTAACCTTAATAGGTTTGCAGTCTTTGCAATCAGTCTAACCTAACGTATTTGCTCATGTGAATAGCAGAGGTGTGTCTATGGTCAAATACAAGTCATATTTCATTAACCCGGTATATAATAAATGCAACTGTTGCATGCACTTATATTGTAGATGCACTTCTAATAAAACAAATATGGTATTCTGTTTAAATTTTCAACATTTTGTTGATCTAAGGGTGTCCATGAGGATGAAATGTCCTGAAGTCATTAAGGCCCACCTAGTTCATTGCTACATTTTTGTGATATTTTTGAAAAATTGTCTTTCAGTGATGATCGAAGTGCTGAAATATTTCGCACACGTATTGAGTCTGCGACTCAGATGAAATCGGTTCTTGGTCCGGACCAGAAGCCAAACTGTTTAATTATAGATGAGATTGATGGTGCGCCTGCGGTAAGATATATTTTGATTTTGCTCCATCAGCTCTTAGATATCTGATGAAATTTGTACTGTACTTTCCTGAAAGCATCAAGTTTATATGTATATATGTACAAATTACATCTATATATGCCCAACACTGGCTTTCAGAATTGTAAAAATACATGATTTTAATGCATTTTTGGCATAAAAATGGTTGGCATTAGACCATCTTGAATTAGATCATTAAACAAATGTGTGCATCTGTATCCTAACGCGAGTTAATAATGTGTAACATGTAAGTTAATATTATAACAATTTTGAGTTGATAAATACAGGTGTAAATACAATCATAATGTGGTCACTGCTTTACATATACATGTACTGCTTCCATCATTTCAGCCTGCTATCAATGTCTTGCTGTCAGTGATCAAGAGAAAAGACACTGCTGCCTCGGCTCCAGAACCATCACAGTTTGGCATACCTGGTAAAAAAAAGAAGAAGAAACAAACGATGTTACTACGACCAATTATATGCATATGTAATGACCAGTAAGTCAGCATTTTCTATGTGACAGAAAATTTTATTTATGAGTGAGTTTTACTATGTTGCTGAATTTCAAACTTTATATAAATTTTCAAAAAAGTAAGCTTAGTGAAGTTTATTCACCTAAACTGTTCTGAAAACAAAAATTTAATTGAGAAGGTGATTATATGAGGCTATTAAGAGGATACCGAAAAATATGCACAAAGACAGTACAGCGAGAGTATCAACCAACGCGTAGCGGATGTCGATGCGACCACGTATTGTTTCAACTTATACTGTTACGATGTCATATGTTTAATAATAAACAATTATTACCTGATATATATGCAAATCATGGATGTTTAAATATTTTGACCTAGGACTTTCTATCCTCGGGGGCGGAGCTACGTCACAAGACGTTCCACGTTGCTACGACGCGCACCACTGTACATGCATTTCTATGGGCTCTGTGAGCGCTGCTGTGGAACGCCGGTCGAGCTGGTGAAAATTCGAGAAAACAACACAAACTCAACTTCGAAGTAATCCTGAACAATCAAATTTATATATATTACACACGTAGGGCTAATGTTGTTACACTGTTCAGGGGTGTCTCAACAATCATCCCAAAGTACCGTTTTCTGCGAGTTTTTGGCCTTTGTTTTCACCGCCAGGATTGCCAAGCGGTGAAAATGCCCGGATGTCCGCCCCAAGGATAGCAGATTAACTGCTAATGATCACAGTCTTGTGATTTTTAATTAATCTCCCGCAAATTTTCACTTCTGACATGTTTTTTTTTTCTTTTGTTAGATTTACCCCATCACTTCGTCAACTGAGACAGCAGTCATTGATTGTTCAATTTCCACCAACACTGTCTACAAGACTTGCTACCAGGCTGAATGAGGTAATGTAGCAAGTCACTTCTGCTTCTTATTTGTTTATAACCAAGAAAATCTACAACCATGGACAGAGTAATCTGTCCATTGCATGTAGACTATCAATACTATTTTGGGGGTTTGTTATTTATCAGCATGTCTTATCTGTGTGGCAGCATTTTCTATTTTCACACACTTCATAGAAATTACTGTACTAGGTATCAACACCTAACATTGCAGCATTTCCCCATGTGTGCATGTCAAACAATTCCTACTGTTGGCACAAAAAATTATCACACAGTAACCATGACATATATATATGTAGTATGTCATAGATAATTCATATATATATACTCCCAATAGGAGCTTATAACTAAATTATAAATGAATAATATAAATCTATAAATAATATTATTGTTTAAGTGACACAGTCATCGCACAATGTCATGTTTGGTATGTGTTCCACATGACATGCACAACGCATATAAAATATGGTGTATGTTTGAATGAGGACTATAAGGCTTTATAATTTTACAATGATTTTCTTTTTATCAGATCGCGAGGAATAACTATCTGAAAACAGATCAGACCACACTGCTGGCATTGTGCCAGAAAGCTGAGAATGATATCAGATCATGCATAAATACATTACAGGTACTTGAATTATTAATTTAATATTTGGATGACAAACTATGACACAATTTTAATATATGCAAACTCAGTCTATTCATGCAGTCTTTATTTTGCTAAACATCATGCATTATATACTGTAGAATACTTTATTTTCGCTTGCAATTTATTTTCGTTAAAGGGATAAAATAAAATCCTGCGAATATACTTTTTTTCCTGTACTTCACATTCAACTCATCAAAAATCAGTGAAAAGAAATTCCAAACAAAACACCCAAAAAGTCTTTTCAGCGAAAATTAATTCCAGCTAAAATAAAGTATTCTACAGTAGATGTGTGTCCAAATTGGTATGTTCATATAGATAAATTGTTAGCTCATATATTGTCTCAAAAAACACTTTTGTGATGTACACTGTAAATATGTTAGTGGATGCCTATTTGTAACATCTCAATTGTTTTTTTTTATGTGGTTCTAAGGAAATTTTGAAATGAATGAATGGATTTAATTTTATTACACCAGAAAATATTAGTAACTAAGGCCAGACTTTTATTATCCCTTGTTTCGCGAACCCGCCGAATGAACAGGAGCCGAAAATGAAATAAAAATAATATTTTATTTCAGCGTAATTTATCCCGCCGACTTGTAAGTGCAAAAAATTGCTAAAAAAAATTATTTTTATCTTCATTTTTTTACGCCCGCCGCATAACAAACCCAAGTTGCATTTTCGTGGGAGTATCATGATCAAAGTACCAAAGTCTCGCGCAGATGAGAAACAAGGTTATGCATGGAATAAAATTTTATTTCATTTCTTCTCTCCGATCAATGATCTCACTTACAATTCTTACGACTCAATTGTGTTTTAAAAGCTCTTTTGTCACTGTCATTTAAAGAAGCTTTTGAATGGCTTGTGATGAAACTTTCAGTTAGCAACTGGATATTAACGATCGAACATCAATTCTATCTTTGCAGTTCATCAGAGGTCAGTTCAGTCAGTTAACACTACAGATGATCAATTCAATGAGTATTGGTCAAAAAGATCAACATAAAGGATTATTTGCTGTCTGGAATGAGATATTTCAGTTACCAAGGGTATCAAAGTAAGTTAAAATCAGATGATATATAAACATCTTGTTGTATGTTATCTGTTAAGGTGAAGAAAATAGGTAACATATTTTCTCTATTAGAAGCACATCTCTAGTGGAAATGCTCTTAAAAACTTAAAACTCTTAAAAAAATCAAACTCACTCACACCTGCCAGATGCATTTTTGACTCCCATGTGCGAAGCACAAAATGGGAGTCTTTGCAGTTAGTGTGTCTGTATGTGTGTATGTGTGTATGTGTGTATGTGTGTATGTGTGTATGTGTGTCCGACTGTTCCACTGCTATCTCAAGAACCATACATCGGTTTTTGATGAAACTTGGTGCATAGATGCTCTGGGCCAATGCGCAGATTTGATTAGGTTTTGGTAAAAATCCATGCTCGTTAATTACCTAATTTGCATGATAATTAGCTAATTTTTAGCTGTTCTATGACTGTTCCACTGATATCTAAAGAACCACTCATTGGATTTTGATGAAACTTGGTACATAGATGCTCTGAACATATGCGCAGATTTGATTAATTTTTGGTAAAAATCCGTGCATATTAATTACCTAATTTGCATGATAATTAGCTATTTTTTAGTGGTTCCATGACTGTTCCACTGATATCTAAACAACCACTCATTGGATTTTGATGAAACTTGGTACATAGATGCTCTGAACTAATGCTAGGTTTTGATTAGTTTTTGGTAATAATCCGTGGATACTAATTACCTAATTTGCATAATGATTAGTCA